ATCATCCCCATCATATTCATCATCTTTATCTTCATAATGATATCCCTCAACCATTTTTTCAATCTCTCTATATCTATATGTACGCAATAAATCTGCTCAAATACCCGGATCATACAATATCACGATTGTATTTTACACCACATCCCCCACCCAAACAACGTAGCCTGTGCTCGACAGTTGTTGCCTTCCTAACCACAATCTGTTTTCAATTTAACTCTGATTCGACATATTGAATTCACATTAAAATATCTCGCAGAATCTTGAAACCTTTCGCGTGCGCGCGATTCGGAAATCAAGGCGCATCAAGCTAACTTCTGGCCACTGCCAGATACGAATTATGCCAAGCACAAACATGTCAAGCTGTACAGTCTCAGCTGTTCGAGCCAGAAGACCGGTCTATCTCTCAAAGGGGTCCAAGAAGTCAAAGGCATTGGCTTCCGGCTTAGGTTTTGTAGTCCAAACGACGCCCTTTGAATCCTGAACGCCCCAAATGCGACCCTAAACCCGGAGGCTCCTCCAAACCAACTCTTGAGCTAAGGTTTAGGGTTTAGGGTTTAGGGTTTAGGGGTTCCGTTCTAAACATAAACCGGTGTTGTTCTCAGGCACGAACGGCGTGCGAACGGCCACAAATTCCGAGGAAGCCGGTCCCAAAACTCTTGAAACAGTGGCTTAGGGCTTTAGGGTTTAGGGGTTTAGGGTTTAGGGTTTATAGGTTTAGGGCTTTGTGTACTGTGGGTATGCGTCGATCTTCAGCTTTTCGGGTTTAGGGTTTAGGGTTTCGGTTTTAGAGCTTTTTGCTAAGGATAAACATGGAATACGTCTATCCAGCCCTGAGCCCCTCTTCATTGCAGGACTTCATTTTCAATGGCACTTCATTTTCAATGGCATTGAAGTGTACTGTGACTCTTTACAGTCGGGGGGGAGGTCTCAAGCGGAGTAACGTAAAGTACATGTTATATCAAGCCCTGAGAAGCCCTTCCATCAGATCACCCCGGATATCCGATCCCGTAGCCCTCAATGAGGGCAGGAAACCCTTAACCCAGCTTTTCGGGAACGGCTTCCACTAGCCTCTTGCAGCTGTGAGTCATGACCCTCGGCCCTGGACCCGGCTTATGAACCCAACCGAGCTCCTATTATTTTGTATGAAACATCATAATGTGCCATAATCTTCCATAAAATACTATAACCTTCTAATATTCAGTATATAATGATCTTTGAAACATCATAACTCACCATGTACACTTTGGGCTTTCAGGCTATGTAAGGGCTTCGACATGAACCTTTGGAACATCGAGACAAAGTTGCCCAAAGACATGCAGGACCCCAACCCCTTAGGTGGCGGGGAACCACTTCTATCCCGTAAAAACTAGCCCAAAACCTGTGCAGCCTAAACGCTCAACCACGAAACCCTTGAGCCGTGTCTGGTCGCAAATCTTCAATCGCCGGACCGGGCCGGACCCAAGAATTTTCAAGCCCAAACTGAGTTTGCAGATCAGTTCGCCGTGGACCCCTGATTCATTTTCACCACTATCCCAAGTTCATAGTATTCGGATCACAAACCGTGACTTATCGTTGCGTTTGAAGGGTGCAGAGCACGCCGACTCCATGAGACCCGAAGAGTGTATATAGGATGGACTGACAGCTGTCACCCGGGAGAATGGACACGCAGCTACCCTAAACGCTAAACCCTAAACCCTAAACCCTAAACCCTACTAAGATACAGAAGAGGCCTCCTGGGCTTTCAGTCCCAAAGGCGATCGGAGACTTGGAGCACATTGAATCTCACTAGCTGCCACGGCTTCGCAGACCCCATGACCCGCCCGAAGGACACCGTCAAGATGCCCCAGCTGTCCGCCACGTTGCGATGTAAGATGTAAGCTTGCGGCTTAAGCCCTGGTCTGGTGTCAGTGTAATTGTAACCTGCTTGCTCTAGCTCGTGTGAAAAACCTGTGTTTACTTCACCTTCAAAAGCCCGCAGCGACGAATAAGTCCTAGCAGTACACTTCTGAAACCCTCAATCTTGAACTGGAGCATAGGACTTAACAGCGAAGTGTGATAGTGTGTTGATGGAGTATTGGGTCGAGCATGCTTGAAGCATTCTGACCCTAGGATTGTAGTTGCCATGGAAATGTTTTGGTCTTTTTGGTTGTCTCTCCCTCTCTCTCTCCGACTTTGGGGCTCGGGGTGATCTCAACCAGAACACATTTGAGGTTCGGGGTAAAATGCAACAAGTATATATGGTCATGGCCTCCCCCCTGTCCCCCTCCATCAGTCTGGACCAAAAAGAATGCAAAACAACTTTGTGCACATCGATTCCTGTTGGGTCCGCGAACTGATTTTCGGCCGGCGGTCGGTAGGCAGTTTTATTCGGACACATTCGGGACCGGCTTGGAATCCTGATACTGTAGTCAGGCACATGGGAAGCATTGCTCAGTCAACCCCATGTAAAGCCCTTCTCGCAGGATTGCGAGCAAGATCACCACCCTTGAGCCGCGGTGCCCCCAGTGCAAATGAATTTGGGTGTTTCTGCAGCCCTTTTTGTGGCTGCATGTCCTTAAATGCTTGGGTGCAAGCCCCGTCAAAGTGAATGTAGCTGTTTGCAGCTTCGATTCGAGATGTCTCCATGGTATCGAAAATGAAAACGACAACAGTTTCGAGGATTTCATTCCCAATTCACCCCGTCGCTGTAGCTGTTGGTACTTTCGAAGCAGATTCTGCGCTCGCTTGGCCCAGACCATACCATGGGGGGAGGCCGGGAATGCCAGACTCCTGACCATATCTGTATTCACTGTACTGTACAATACTTTACCTAAACTTCTGTGGGGAATGGAAGGAAGACTATAGCAGCTTGTTGAGGCTCGCCTTTCAACCCTCGAAACCAAGGCTATGAGAATGAAGACGTACGTCCCTTGGGCACTAAACCCCGCACCCCACATCCACCCCAGACCCTAAGCCGTAAACTTCGAACCCTTGTAGTCGCTATCAGCCTCAAGTCGCCTCCACGTAAGCTGCCCGGTTCACGGAGACTTGCTCTATTGCCAGCAGCTCCTATCAGGGACCATGTACCCTTGAACCCGCTTAAAGTGTCGGGATGTCATGGGATGTCTGCAGGAGGTTTCGGATTTCAGAGCGAGGATTCGCTAGGTTTGAAAGGACGTGTGGACGTGGCGAACAAATTATGACAATACTAGATGAACCCGAGCTTACCTGAAGTAGGGTCCATGTTCGGGTTCTGGTGGGTATCGGTGCATGTATATAGAGCTCTTGAGGAGTATTGGTAAGTGAATTCCGGGTGTCCGGGAATAAAACCCTAAGGCAACACCCCATCCAAGCCGCACGGCCTGGAAGCGAAACGGTAATTCCCCAAACCTTCGCACTAAGTCTCAATTTGTCTTAATTCGGCCCCATGTGCATCCTGAACCCTACGGGCAGCTTCACCCTAAACTACTTCGACACCAAAGCCAGCGGTAGGCTTCGCGTGATGTCTTTCACGAGACATGCAATTTTTAGATGTTGAAAGGTAGAAGGAGGGTGCTCAACCGTAGCCGTAGCCTGCATGAAACCTACATACTGCAATGTGAATCTTTGAATGATAGACAGAATCCAGGTGATTCAAGGTTGTGAAGCCAGCCTCCCTGTCCAGCCTGCCCTGCGACCTCTACAAAGATCGGGCGGAAGGCTCTCCGAGCATTTTGCGGTGTAAAGTTGCTTTTGCAGGACTACTAGTTACTGGCATGAAACTGATCCCGTCTCTTGACTCTCGCCCCGGCCCGGGCACCTCCAATGCGCGCGCCTGTGGGATGCAAGCAGAAAGCACTTCGTTTTTAGCGACAAGCTCGAAAGCTCCAGCACCCTGTATGATGTCGTGCACGTGCACTATCAAACTGACACTCGACATCATCCAAGCCCTGCACCAACAAACCAGAAATCCGTGTTCCTGAGGATGTTGGATTCAGTGGATTCAGGCCTGGATCTCACAGGGCTTGGGGGGGGCGGGCAGGTGTAGCGCATCATGGTCTCAAACAATCCTCATGCCTAATCGTCCTAACCCGAAACCCCAGATCCACCACATCCCACAACACCTGAACCCCAAACCACATCAACCTCCCGCACCGCATTGTCAAGCCGAAAAGCCCAACAAAAGCAAATGCTAAAGCCCTAAACGGCTTAGGGTTTAGGGTGTTAGGGTTTAGGGTTTAGGGTTCCCAAAAAAGGGGCCATTGGGATGCCTGCTCCCGCACTTCCTCCGTGGCGTCGGTGAGTTCCCGACGATGGTCGGCCCGCTCCTGAAGTCTTCTGTGTTTCCATGACATGGATGTTGCATATAGTCTCCATTGTAGTTCCTTTTGGGGGATACCTTATAAAATCCTTTATATATATATATATGGTAGCCCCCCCCCATGAACTACCGACCCTCGTTTTGTATCGTAAATACCGTGTTAAACCTGCTTTTCCGGCAGGTCCGGATTCTGTATCTTGCAAAGACTGCCAAAATCAAACTCACATTTCAAGGGAAAGTGCTAGACAACTCGTTCAGGTTCGACGTGAGCACGCACTCAACGTCAACGCTGTACTCCTCCAC